TTTATTATTACTATTTTAGCTTTTTAAAATTAATTTTAAAATCCACCCAGCATAGTCATTAATCACCTATGCATCTTTGCATCAGCTATTTAACCATTTGGACACTGTAACATGAAGTGGTTGTAATAGGTGGTCTTTAATGTCTTTAAAATTCTCTAGTTTTACATTAAAAGACATCTATCATTGCTGTCTTAACCAAGGTTTTACACTCACTGAGCGTGATCTTTCTTTATAGCTCTGATGTTCTGAAAATCTTGTTTTTATTTCATCTTATCTAAATTCTGCATCCTGTGAAATACATATTTTTCTAAAAAGTAGATTGGGCTTTTGTCCAGTTTCCACCCATATTTATGCCTGGGAATCCAGAATTGAGGTACTATAAAGAGAAAAGCCCAAACGGTAAAGGTTCTTTTTTCTGTTTATAGGGTCATACTTTTCCCATTTGGGTTTCTCTGAGGCTTCACTGGAGAGAACTAAAGCTCCATTAGCAGAAGTGCCACAGAGACGTAAAGGAAGCTGCAATCATGTGCCAGATTATTTACCGTACACTGAGGGCTGGAAGTTTCCAGTTGTTTTGGGATTAGAACCTAAAAGTCATTTATGAAAATCCCAGTGACTTCATTAAAGGGCCACTGTCTAAAATTCTGCACAATGACACTCTCATTATCATTAAAATTTCATTTATATGTCATGAACCACAACTTGATGAGAAAGCAAAACAGACCAGAAATGAAATGAAATGCCTAGTTTGTCTCCTTCCGAAATGTCCTGTCTTTGACGTGCTTACAGGAGGGAATGTGGTCTGTGTGCCACTGCCTCTCACTGCCTCTTGCCTGGACAGTAACCCTTCTCTGTTTTGTATGACCGGTTTTCCCTGTTTCCTGCATCTTTGTTCACTGCACATAAAAATACTGTAACTTCTCCCATATTTAAAAAAAAAAATGAAGCCTCTTTCGGTCTCACAGCTCTGTGGACACTGCCCACTTTCTGCTTCCTTTGGTAGGAGTGTACCTCGAAGGCACAGTGCACGTTCCTGTCTCCATTTCTTCTTCTCCCTTTCGGTCTTGAGCTGATTCCTACGAGAGTCCCCTCCAGGTCAGTGAAGCTCCTCTTGCCTTTACCTCCATTAACTTCCACGTTGCTAATCCACAGGTCAAACTCGGTCTTAGTCAATTGTCCTGCTATTTGAAATACTTTCTCAGTTTGGCTTCCGAAGCACCGCTCTATGCTCCTTGCCCGTCTCCCTCTCCGGCTGTTCCTCCTCGATCTTCCTTCCTTCCTGGACCCTCCCGATCTTTCCCACCTCTAACTGTTGGAGCACCCCAGGATGAGTCCTTGCACTTCACTGGCCACATCTTTCTTCAGATGATCTCACCTGCCCTATGGCTTTAAATATCATCTATGTGCAGATGATTCCGAAATGTATCTGTGTCCAGGCCTTCCTTGATTATCCTACCTGAAACAGCACCTCCCTCCTGTCATTTTCTGTTCCCTTTCCTTGCCTTACATTGTGTCACAACACTTACTTTTTAGCAGTGACTTTATACTCTGTGTCTATTCGTATATTTGCTTATTGTGTACCTCCCTGGCTAGAATGCAAGCATGAGGGCAGGGACTTGGTTTTACTCTCTGCTATATCCCAGACACAGAGCAGGGTGATGGTGGTGGTATGGTATATATTAGGTACTCAATAAGTATTTGTTGAGTGAATCATTAATGTCCAAATTTATTCTTTCAAATCATTGAGCGCTCGTTTATGTTATGCAACCGTGCAAGGCAAGCGATAGCTTTAGCTCTGAGAGTGATATCTGAGGCTTATTTACCACACAAATGGTGAGACGGTGGAGAAGTGGCAGCAACTCTAATTTGTGTCCAAATCAGGGAATGGCAAATCCAGCCTAGTTTAAGGCAGTTGAGATTGGGATGGGTGGGCGTCAGCATAGGGGCATAACTTCATAATTACCAGGTGAAGAATAGAGACAACAGGACTCCAAATATGAACAAGGCAATCCTGAGAAGCTATCAGTGCTCTGAAGCAGAAGAAAATTTGCTGAGCCCACAGAAGAGCCACAGGAACCCAGATGCCTGGTTCCTTGATTTCAGTATAGGCTCATGACCAGCTGCAGATGCTGGACGCTCAATCGAGTATCAGCTGTGGGGATAGGGCTGGAGCAGGTGCTCTAGGGAATGTAAAAGTAAATATAATCTCTACCTTCAAAGAGCCTGTAGATTTATAGGAGATGCTAAGGCACAGCTAATGGAAGTAAGAGCATTATATAACATGTAATGTGCTCAGCAGAGCCGTGAAATCATAGCAAATTATATCTGTAAAGGAGGGCTATTTATGGATTGTGTTTAAATATAGAACTAGTCTCTTGGGTGCGAGAAAAAGAACAATTTACTAGTTACATATCTCTTCATTTGCAAAATGTAGGGTTTAGAAAGAATTCTTTTTCATGTTTCCTTCCAGTGCTAAATTGCTATGATTCTTAACTCACAAACACGTAAGCCTATATAGGTAAACATGTATACATAGATAAGAAAATCTCATTCATTTGTCTTTGCTGATTTTGAACTTATGATCAACCATCCAAAGTAAGGGTGGTTGAATTTTCATTTTATTTTATCGGTAATGTTAGTAGCTTGTTCAAAAACAGTGTAGACAAATTATAAAAGGAATGCTTATCAACTTTAAAAAACAGCTTTCAAAGCATTTAGAACTCCTATTTACAAACCAGTAGCTGAAGTAGATGTCGGTCACTTGGACTGACGTTTTGACGCATTTAATCCCTGAGCTAGGGCCTCCTGGAGGGAAGGCAGTTGACACACCAGGTCCCTGACCCTCATCTCAACTCAGAGCACTAGGAAGCCAGAGTTTGCCTTGACTGAGGGCAAAACCAGAGGAAATCATTTGCAGAAGCAGTGGGCCTGGCAGATTATGCCCTGAGCCTCCTGCTATATTTCTTGCTCTGACAGTACAAACTACGTGCATAACAAGTACTTTTAACAAAGAAAATGCAGTCTTCTTCATTAGTAGGTTATTGTGTAAAACGTTTCCTGAATCCCTACTACATTTATCGAATGTGCAGGAGGCACTGTCATATGTCCTCACTACATCACAGTACCAAGTGTTGATTTCATCTCCAGCTCTTGGGGATATGTGTTAAGGATATCTTACCATTATACAGTTAATTTTAATAAAAGTTCCAATTACCTTACCTCAAAAGGCTACATGTGGACCTCACAGGCAAATGGGGATGTTGCCCAAAGGAGAAACAAGAGTGATTATGGAATACTAAAATTTATCAAAAGCTTTCAGGACTAAGGTCAGAGAGGCTGAAATTCAGAATGAGACGCAAATCGAAAAATGTCAGGCAGGGAATGAAAAAGCAATCTGGAAACCACACAACTAAAAACTTCATTCTACCTTAGAAAAACCACCACGAAGTTAATCCCCTACTGAAGACAGATGTAAGAAAGCAGTGAGAGGAGTCATATAACCCATCAGATGAATGTGGTCACTCTCTGTGACTGATCAGGAGAGGACAAGGTCTTCAATCTCCCTTGAACACGCTGAAGTCATTCCGCCCGGATGTTTTTCCCAATGCTGCTTTCTTTACCCACGGTCTGACTTTTCAGCTGTGGTTCTATCTTCAGAGCCTTGCTGCAGTTCCAGCTTCTCAGTGCTGCCCTCTCCAATTTCTCCTGCCCAAAATGAAAGCCTCTTTCTGGAGACCCCAGGAACCTTACAGCATTGCAGGTTACCACTAAATGGTTCTCTAACAGGTATGTGGTTCTTCTGACTGGACTACAAGCACCTTACTTGCAGGATTCACACTTGAAACCTTTAAGTGATTTATTAACTTATAAGAAAAGTCTTACGAGATATAAAAATTTAGTCACGTTAAGTAAATATTGAATGAATTGCATTTGTCAAAAAGAAAAAACTATTGAAAATAAAACTATTTTGGAAACTTTGGGATGTAAAGTTCCTAATAGTTACTGCACCTAACTCTTTATAAAAGACATAAAGGAGGCTGGGTGCGGTGGCTCATGCCTGTAATCCCAGCACTTTGGGAGACCGAGGTGGGCAGATCACAAGGTCAGAAGATCAAGACCATCCTGGCTAACATGGTGAAAACCCATCCCTACTAAAAATACAAAAAATTAGCCAGGCGTGGTGGTGGGCACCTGTATTCCCAGCTACTCTAGAGGCTGAGGCAGGAGACTTGCTCAAACCTGGGAGGCAGAGGTTGCAGTGAGCCAGGATCCCACCACTGCACACCAGCCTGGGTGACAGAGTGAGACGCCATCTCAAAAAAAGAAAGACATAAAGGAGGCACTTTGGCTTCTGCCAAGATGGCCAAATAGGAACAGCTCCAATCCACAGTTGCCAGGGAGAGCAATCCAGAAGGCAAGTGATCTCCACATTTCCAACCAAGGTACCAGGTTCATCTCATTGGGACTGGTTAGACGGTGGGAATAGCCCAAGGAGGACAAACCAAAGCGGGGGGGCAGGCATTAGTCTCACCCAGCAAGCACAAGGGGCTGGAGACTCACTCTCCGAGCCAAGAGAAGCCATTGGAGACTCTCTGGACATTCTGGCACTCTTGCTCAGATACTGCACTTTTTCCACGGTCTTCAAAACCCACAGACCAGGAGATTCCCTCCAGTACGTACAACACCAGCGCCCCAGGTTTCCATCACAAAACTGGGCGGTTGTAGCCGCAGCAGATTTTTTTTTTTTCCCAAACACCAGCGAGAAAGAACCACTCATTCCCCTGAAAAAACGGGGGCTGAAGCCAGGGAGCCAAGTGATCTGGCTCGGCTGGTCCCACCCCCACGAAAACCAGCAAGCTAAGATCCACTGGCTTGAAATGCTCAGGCTCCAACAGGAGCCCTCTGTCCCTCTCAGAACCCTGTCCTCCCCAGGAGACCCCAGCCAATCTCTGTGCTCCCTCCTCCCACCCTCCTCCAGGTTGTCCTCCCCTCACCTATGAGCAGGAGCCTCTGCCAGGGGATGCGCCATCTGTGGGAAGGTGCTGAGGGGGGGCCTCATGGTCTCTGCTGCCTGCTCTGTCCTCTATAGAGAAGAGCTCGGCTTCCAGGAACACTCTTGTCAGGGCTGGCCCTCGGTCTCTTCCTCTGGAAAAGGGGGATGATGCTGTGTTAATGTAATTCCACCACAATCCACAGAATCTTGCTCGGGCCTGTCCTGAGCACTTGGGAGGTACCCTGTTAGCTATAGCTCTGTTTGGGGGAGCTGTTGCACATCTAGCACAGTCTGAGCTCAACGGAGGGTGTTCAAGCCAGTGGGAGAAAGGGCGTCTGCCATTACTGAGGCTCGGGTAGGTGGTTCTAAACTGGCCTGTGTAAACAAAGTCCAGGAAGTTTGCACAGCAACTAGGTGGAGCCCACGGCAGCTCAGCAAAGACTCTGCAGGCAGATTGTGACCAGACTCCCTTCTAGCTGGGCAGGGCAGCTCTGCAAAAAGGCAGCAGCCTGTCAGGGACTTATAAATAAAGCCTCCACCTTCCCAGGACAGAGCACCTGGGAAAAGGGGCAGTATGTGTCCCGCTTCAGCAGACTTAAACATCCCTGCCCAGCAGCTCTGAAGGGACCAATGGAGCTCCCAGCACAGCACTCGAGCTCTGATAAGGGACTGACTGCCTGTTCGAGTTTATCCTGACTGGGAGTCACGCATACAGGAGAGCTCTGGCTGACATCTGGCAGGTACCCTTCTGGGTGAAGCTACCAGAGAAAGTAAGAGGCAGCAATCTTTGTTGTTCAGCCCCTGTGGGTGATTCCCAGGCAAGCAGGGTCTGGGGTGGACCTCCAGCAGACCTGCAGCAGTGCGGCCTCTTTCAAGGAAAACTAAAAAACAGAAAGAAATAGCTTCAACATCCACAGGAAGGACGTCCACTCAGAGACCCCATCCAAAAGTCAACAACTTCAAAGTTAAATCTATGAAGATGGGAAGAAACCAGCGCAGAAAGGCTGAAATTGCCAAAAACCAGAACATCTCTCCTCCTCCAAGGAATCACAACTCCTCACCATCAAGGGAACAAAACTGGGTAGAGAATGAGTTTGATGAATTGACGGAAGCAGGCTTCAGAAGGTGGGTAATAACAAACTTCTCTGAGCTAAAGGAGCATGTTCTAACCCAATGCAAGGAAACTGAGAATCTTGAAAAAAGGTTGGACAAAACGCTAACTTGAATGACCAGCGTAGAGAAGAACATAAACGACTCGATGGAGCTGAAAAACACGTCATGAGAACTTTGTGAAGCATCCACAAGTTTCAATAGCCAAATCGGTAAAGTGCAAGAAAGGATATTAGACACCGAAGATCAACTCAGTGAAATAAAGCTGGAAGCCAAGATTAGAGGGAAAAGAGGGAAAAGAAATGAACAAAGCCTCCAAGGAATATGGGATTATTTGAAAAGACCAAATCTGTGTTTGATCCGTGTACCTGAATGTGATGGGGAGAACGAAACCAAGTTGAAAATCACTCTTCAGGAATTCAGGAAACACAGAGAACACCGCAAAGATATTTCTCAAAAAGAGCAACCCCAAGGCACAAAATTGTCAGATTCACCGGGTTTGAAATGAGGGAAACAAGGCTAAAGGCAGCCAGAGAGAAAGGTCGGGTCACCCACAAAGGGAAGCCCATCAGACTCACAGCAGATCTCTCGGCAGAAACTCTACAAGCCAGAAGAGAGTGGGGACCAATATTCAACATCCTTAAAGAAAAGAATTTTCAAACTAGAATTTCATATCCAGTTAAACGAAGCTTCATAAGTGAAGGGGAAATAAAATCCTTTACAGATAAGCAGCTGCTGAGAGATTTCATCACCACCCGGCCTGCCTTACAAGAGCTCCTGAAGGAAGCACTAAACATGGAAAGGAATAACTAGTACCAGCCACCGCAGAAGCATATCGAATTGTAAAAACCACTGACACTATGAAGAAACTGCATCAATTAATGGACAAAACAGCCAGCTAGCATCAAAATGGGAGGATCACATTCACACATAACAGTATTAACCTTAAATGTAAATGGGCTAAATGCCCCAAATAAAAGACACAGACTGGCAAATTGGATAAAGAGTCAAGACCCATTGGTGTGCTGTATTCAGGAGACCCTTCTCACTTGCAAAGACACACATAATCTCAAAATAAAAGGATGGAGGGATATTTAACAAGCAAATGGAGAGCAAAAGAAAGCAGGGGTTGCAATTCCCATCTCTGATAAACAGACTTTAAACCAACAAAGATCAAAAGAGACAAAGAAGGGCATTACATAATGGTAAAGGGATCAATGCAACAAGAAGTGCTAATGATCCTAAATATATACGGACCCAATACAGGAGCACCAGATACATAAGGCAAGTTCTTAATGACCTGCAAAGAGACTTAGAGTCCCACACAATAGTGGGAGACTTTAACACTCCACTGTCAATATTAGAGAGATCAATGAGACAGAAAATTAACAAAGATATCCAGGACTCGAACTCAGATCTGGACCAAGCAAACCTGATAGACATTTACAGAACTCTCCACCCCAAATCCACAGAATATACATTCTCCTCAGCACCACATCACACCCACTCTAAAACTGACCACATAACTGGAAGTAAATCACTCCTCAGCAAATGCAAAAGAACAAATATTATAACAAACAGTCTCTCAGACCATAGTGTAATCAAATTAGAACTCAGGATTAAGAAACTAACTTAGAACCACACAACTTCATGGAAACTGAACAAATGGCTCTTGAATGACAACTGGATAATAATTAAATGAAGGCAGAAATAAAGATGTTCTTTGAAACCAATGAGAATGAAGACACAATCTACCAGAATCTCTGGGACACATTTAGAGCAGTGTCTAGAGGGAAATGTATAGCACTGAATGCCCACATGAGAAGTGAGGAAAGATCTAAAATTGACACCCTAACATCATGATTAAAAGAACTAGAGGATCAAGATCAAACAAACTCGAAGGCTGGCAGAAGACAAGAAATAACTAAGATCAGAGCAGAACTGAAGGAGATGGAGACATAAAAAGCCCTTCAAAAAATCAATAAATCCAGGAGCCGGTTTTTTTTAAAAGATCAACAAAATAGATAGACTGCTAGCCAGATTAATAAAAAAGAAGAGAGAGAAGAATTGAATAGATGCATTAAAAAATGGTAACGGGGATATCACTGGTTCCACAGAAATACAGACTACCATCAGAGATTATTACACACGCCTCTATGCACATAAACCAGTAAATGAAGAAGTGGGTAAATTCCTGGGCGCTTACACCCTCCCAAGACTAAGGCAGAAAGAAGTTGAATCCCTGAATGAACCAATAACAAGGCCCGAAGTTGAGGCAGCAGTTGATAGCTACGAACCAAAGCAAGTCCAGGACCAGACGGGTTCACAGCCGAATTCTACCAGAGGTACAAAGAGGAGCTGGTACCATCCTTCTGAAACTATTCCATGCAATACAAAAAGACGGGAACCTCCCTAACTCATTTTACGAGACAAACATCATCCCGATACCAAAACCTGACAGAGACACAACTAAAAAAGAAAATTTCAGGCCAATATTCATGATGAACATTGATGTGAAAATCTTCAATAAAATACTGGCAAACCAAATCCAAAAGCATATTAAAAAGCCTATTTACCACAATCAAGTCAGCTTCATCCCTGGGATGCAAGGCTGGTTCAAAATATGCAAATCTATAAACATAATTCATCACATAAACTGAACCAAAGACAAAAACCACGTGATTATCTCAATAGATGCAGAGAAGTCCTTTGACAAAATTCAATTTTAAGCCCTTTGTGCTAAAAACTCTCAATAAACTAGGTTTTGATAGAATGTATCTTAAAATAATAAAAGCTATTTACAAGAAATCCACAGACAATATCATACTGAATGGGCAAAAACTGGAAGCATTCCCTTTGAAAACTGGCACAAGACAAGGATACCGTCTCTCACCACTTCTATTCAACATAGTATTGGAACTTCTAGTTAGGGCAATCAGGCAAGAAAAAGAAATAAAGGATATTCAGTTAGGAAAAGAGGAATTCAAATTGTCTCTATTTGCACACAACATGATGGTATATTTAGAAGACTCCATCGTCTCAGCCCAAAAGCTCCTTAAGCTGATAAGCAACTTCAGCAAAGTCTCAGGATAAATAATCAATATGCAAAAATCACAAGCATTCCTATACACCAATAACAGACAAACAGAGATCCAAATCATGAGTGAACTCCCTTTCACAATTGCTACACAGAGAATAAAATGCCTAGGAATACAATTAACAAGGGACGTGAAGGAACCTCTTCAAGGAGAACTACAAACCACTGCTCAGGGAAATAAGAAAGAACACAAACAGATGGAGAAACATTCCATGTTCATGGTTAGGAAGAATCAGTATTGTGAAAATGGCCATACTGTCCAAAGTAATTTATAGATTCCATGCTATCCCCATCAAGCCACCATTGACTTTCCTCACAGAATTGGAAAAAAACCACCTCAAACTTCATATGGAGCCAAAAGAGAGCCCACATAGCAAAGACAATCCTAAGCAAAAAGAACAAAGCTGGAGGCATCATGCTATCTGACTTCAAACTATACTACAAGGCTACAGTAATCAAAACAGCATGGTACAGGTACCAAAACAGAGATGTACCAATGGAACAGAACAGAGTCCTTGGAAGTAACACCACATATCTACTACCATCTAATCTTTGACAAACCTGACAAAAACAAGCAATGGGGAAGGTATTCCCTATTTAATAAATGGTGTTGGGAAAACTGGCTAGCCATGCACAGAAAGCTGAAACTGGATCCCTTCCTCACACCTTATACAAAAATTAACTCCAGATGGATTAAAGATTTAAACATAAGACCCAACATCATAAAAACCCTAGAAGAAAATCTAGGCAATACCCTTTAGGACATAGGCATAGGCAAGGACTTAATGACTAAAACACCAAAAGCATTGGCAACAAAAGCCAAAACAGACAAATGGGATCTAATTAAACTTCAGACCCTCTGCACAGCAAACTACACTATCATTAGAGTGAACTGGCAACCAACAGAATGTGAAAAAATTCTTGCAATCTACCTGTCTGACAAAGGGCTAATAACCAGAATCTACAAGAAACTTAAACAAATTTACAAGAAAACCAAAAACCCCATTAAAAAGAGGGTGAAAGATATGAACAGACACTTCTCAAAAAAAGACATTTATGCAGCCAACAAACATAGGGAAAAAAGCTCATTATCACTCGTTGTTAGAGAAATGCAAATCAAAACCACATTGAGATACCATCTCACACCAGTTGGAAGAGCCATTATTAAAAAATCGGGAGACAACAGATACTGGAGAGGATGTGGAGAAATACGAATGCTTTTACACTGTTGGTGGGAATGTAAATTAGCTCAAACATTGTGGAAGACAGTGTGACAATTCCTTAAGGATCTAAAACTAGCAATACCATTTGACACAGAATCCCATTACTGGGTATATACCCAAAGGATTATAAAGCATTCAGTTATAAAGACACATGTGTATGTATATTTATTGCAGCACTGTTTACAATAGCAAAGACTTGGAACCAACCCAAATGCCCATCAATGATAGATTGGATAAAGAAAATGTGGCACATATACACCATGGAATACTATGCAGCCATAAAAAAGATGGGTTCATGTCTTTTGCAGGGATATGGATGAAGCTGGAAACCATCATTCTCAGCAAACTGACACAAGAACAGAAAACCAAACACAGCATGTTCTCACTCATAAGTGGGTGTTGAACAATGAGAACACATGGACATAGGGAGGGGAACATCACACACTGGGGTCCGTCAGGGATGGGGGGCTTGGGGAGGGTTAGCAGGGGGTGCAGGGATTGGGGAAGGATTACATTAGGAGAAATACCTAATGTAGATGGCAGGGGGATGGATGAGGCAAGTCACCACGGCACATGTATACCTAATGTAACAAACTTGCATGATCTGCACATATACCCCGGAACTTAAAGTATAACAACAAAATGAAGGAGGCGCTTTTGGCTCACGTATTGACTGATGGACGAATGGTAGTAAGAAAATTTTCTTTACTGAGACCTTTCATTCTAACCTACATGTTAATGTATGAAGTTGATTAGGGCAAATAATCATCAGTCATCTCAAAGTAAACTCAAAACATTCACCACCACCACGACCACAACCGCCCCCTAAAAGCTACTCAGCCTCCTGTATAATTAAAGGCGTCACTCCTCACTGAGTGACCTAAGCCAGGGACTTGGCAGTCACAAAGCACCTTCTGCTCACTCCCATGTTTGACTCCTCACCAAATTGTTGACTGTCTCGGATCCATCCTGCCTCTCCTTCCGCACAGACTTCACTTGGTTCAGGTCTTAACAGCCGCACCCACCCAGACTCTATGGTTATTTCCCAACTGGTTGGACGTGTCTGGTCTCACCTCTGTCCAGTACATGCCACATACACCAGAGAGGATCAAAAATGCAAATCTGTTTATGTCATCCCCTTTCTGTGTCTTGTAATGGTTCTTAATGCCTAAAAAATAAAGTCCTAATTTCTTTGCAAGTCATTCAAGGGCCCTTTTAATCTGGTTCCAGCCTTTCTTTTGAAAATCATCTTGGCTGCTTGCCTATATGCATCATACCTTCTTCCTATCTACAGTTTCAAAGTCTAAATGGTCAGACTTGAAGTGCCAAGCCATTTTATGTCACTGCGTAGGACAATATTTGACCCTGTATCCATTGAAACTAGTTGACTTACCTTTAGACCTAAACCAAAAACCCATTTATTTCTTGATCACCTCTGCAAGGCTGATACTTCAGTCACCACGATGCCCGGTAAATACCCCTAATAAAGCAATCATTTGATCATATACCCATTTAACCTGGTAGAACTTCCCCACTGTCAGAAGGGGAGGGAGGGACATGGCAGACCTTGGCATGGGAGGAGAGTATGTCGTTTGGTATTTCATATATCAGCATCGCCACAGCCACTCAAATGAACATCGGTGAGTCAACGATGAAAGAGTTTCGAAGGAATTTCAGGGAAATGGAACAGCAGGAGCAAAGGCTCAGAAGCAGCAGTAAACTTGCAGTAGGCTAAGACCATCCCAAGGGTTTTTTTTCCCCCTGTCACTGCTAAATTGAAGGTTTTTATAAAGGGGCTAAAGAGGAGGAAAGTAGCCAGTCTGAATAAGGGGTGACTCACCAAAACATAACCCAAAGACTTCTGCCTGGGAGACTGGAAGATTGGTGACATCTTGATGGAAAATGATAAGCCTGAATTGTACATTCAGATCAGTTCTCACCATTCGAGTTGGAAAAAAAGAGGAAAAACAAAACGGAATAGTTACTACCAATTACCTACAAACGTCCTTGCCAGGCTGAGGATTGACGCCACCTGGTGGCCATTTGCCTAATTTTTTTATTCAATTCTTTACAGCGGTGCAAACTCAAAATTTGTACTTACAAACTTGAGCACGGTGTCAGGCATGAAGGAGCTATTAAAATTGTTTTTGCAGAATACATGGATGAGTGGAACATGTAAATGCATTATTCAGTAAAGCAAAGTTCTGTGGTGAAAAAAGCTCTCATCTGAACGTGAAGACCGCTGGCATCCAGTTCCACGTTAACTGTGGAGTGAGTCCCAGGAGATCACCGAACTCTCTCAGGTCACGGCCAGCTCTAACGTTCTTGAGTTTATATTGGGGTTTCAGTTTACTTATCTGAAAAAAATGATATGTAAAAAATTATATATATGATCTATATATATATGACATACACAGAACAAGAACTCAAGTAATATAACTGTAAGACATTTTTATATGCCTTTTATTATATACGTATATTGGAGTTTTAAAAAAAAAATTATTAGCTGAGCTCAAAAGTCCTTGAAGAGTCACAACATCAGAGGGGCTATCAGGAGTGATATGTATACTTTTGGCAGTTAAATTTGAACTCACAGCTGGAGAAACCTTGCTGGTTAGAAGTGCTTTTCTGATTATGTCATCATTGTTCCTCCTTAGCCAGGTGTTTCTTGGTCCAGCCTCAGAAGCTCCTCCTACACAGCACATCTGACCCCTTCCTATGGCATCCAGGCCATACTCATGGGTGGGAACTGAAGGGTGAGCACGCACTACCATGTGGGTTTTTTTTAGGCTAATATTATGTTTAAGAAGTGGGATTATTGTATTATATGTGTTTGTCTAATTTTCCCAGCTAAAGCAAAAGATCTATCCCAAAAGAGGCTTTTTTAAAAATCGTATTCCTAACACAAGGTATTTTATGCAATGGACACTCAGTATGTCCTTTTCAATATTGATCTTTATGCTGAGAGTTAGAAAGCATCATCCAATCTGGAGACGGGCAGGGACCATAGAAGGTAATTCTGAAGTACCAGTAGTGCCGGAAACTAAGGGCTAAAATAACACCCCACGGTGATGGGAGTCAGCCAGAGGGACAAGGAACCCAGCTGCAAAAGCACCTATAGCCAATTTAAGAAAAACAAATAAAACAAGATTAGATTATAATCTAAAGTATATAATAAATATCCATGCGTTCATACTGACTTAAATAAATGATGAATGATGTGACAGAGTAGACACATCTCAAGTACAGAAGGATTTCTAATACTTGATGTACATACTCCTCCGCCACAGAGTGAAACATAACCCCCCCCACTCTAAGCACGAGCTGTGCACACTCTGCCGTAGAAGGTGGTATGGAAAGGGGGTGAAAGCATAACCTTGCGGTGGAAAAACCTGGTAAACTGCCTCAGTCCGACCATCATAAATGCCCAGTCAGGCTGGCAGCGCGTGCGCTCCGTGTGTTGTAAGGAGAACAGCATGTTACCTCTGCCGTCTTCCTTCCCCGAATCCAGATCCTCATTCTAATCATGAGAGAAGCATCAGGCAAATCCCAACGGAGGGAAATTCTGTTAATACAATGCTCCTCAAAGCTGCAGAGGGCATGAAAAGTAAAGTCTGAAGAAGAACCTAAGGAGATACCACAGATAATGTAACAAGTTATCCTGGATGAGACCCTAGAACAGAAAAAGAACATTAGGTGAAAACAGAGGAAATCTGAATAAAGTATGGACGTTAGTCAAAAATAATGTATCAATATTGGGTCATTAATTGCAACAAATGTTCCAAACGAATGTAAGATGTTTCTAAGAAATGAAACTGAGTGTTTTGCGTATGGGAACTCTGCACTATCTGTGCAACTCTCTGTAAAAAGTTTATTTTTAAAAATAAGTCAAATCACCCAACACACTCAGCAGAAAGCAGAGCCATGTGGAGATGCAAGGAAATGTCAAACTATTATTAAATATCTTTTGGAAAATTAGATAGAAAAAGATTAGAAAGGATATTTTAAAAACATGAATCCTTCGAGGCAGGAGAAAGACAAACGATGGTTTAACCGCAGTTATATATTTTTTATTTGAAAAAAGGTGTAGTTCCTTAAAGAAAGTATAGGAGAAACTACACGAAAGTAGAAAAAGGAAAGAAAAGCTTTCATAATTCTACCATCTAACACAACTACATTAGTATTTTATTTTCAGTTTTTAAAATATGTATATTTTTGTGAGTTTTTCTCATAGTTTTAATCCTACCTGATTACACAATTTAACTTCTTGGAAGGTTTTCCCTCTCCTAATTGAAGACAAATCTTACAGAGAACAAGTTAATTGGTGTCATTCTGTCTTTCAGACAGAATTAATTTAAGTGAAAGAGAACATATGACTTCACAAGACCGTGAGTGCCCAGAATCTGCTCTATTGTCCAGGACGTAGTGCAGAACTAAAGGGGTGCATATGGTCTATCTCTTAATTTCGCTGTGGAACGGGTATGATATTTAAGAAACAAAATGGAGAAGAGGAAAAGTCTATTGCCAGGTGAGTTCCTCAGAGCTAAGAGATAGGTTATAGAAATAAAAGGTAGGATAATAGGTGTTTATCAATTTTCATACTGAGTACTGTTGGCAGAACAAAGAATATGACTGAGAGTAAATGGTAGGAAGTACTCAATATTAACCTTTTTATAACCGCCATAATCATCTTCTAGGGAGGAGCTTACATTCAGACGATACTGTTTCTTAAGATTCACTACCGTGGCTGTGTTCCAGATAAAAAGTTTGGCATGCTTAAATTCCATTAGATTGAGGCCACGAGAAACAGTCAATATTCTTGAGTACATACTGCCACCCAGTGGACACGCCTGCATTTGCAGAGGAAGAGGACGAGGGAAGACGGAAGGGGTTATGACCAGGCTCGTGCGAAGGTTTCCTTCGCATTCTTTGCTTGATCACATGCATCGTGTATAATCCCAAGCTGAATTACACCGCTCGTTCGAAATTCTAGACTAGACTCTAATACGCATTTCCAAACCATTCTGATAAATATTACCAGAGGCTTTGGCAACGGGAAAAAAATACCGTGTGTGCTTACCACCACTGTATATACTAACTTCTCATTAATATAATAAAAATCATGAATTTCCAATACGATCAGTCAGAGATACTTAACTTCTAGTAGGGCAGAAAGAGGGCTGTCAGGGCAGAGACTAGACAGTGGAAAAATCTGGCAAACACTGCCTTAGCCAGATGACCAACAAGACTGCGCCACGCTGTAGTACATGCCTTGGATGTGGTCATCTGACTCCCCTGGATACTAAGAACCCTGGCAGGACGTCTAAAGAGAATTACATCTTTGGCATAACAATCTTGGATTTCCCTTTATCTGAAAGCAACTAAAGGTTTACTAGAATGGAAATATATGGAGACAGGGGATGGAATTTTGGTCATTTAAATGAATATTGAGGCCATATTCATGTAGAGACTTCCCAGGATTTTTAGAGAAGTACAGAAATATCCTTCTCATGGGGTTACTCCAAGAGTCCTGGTATTCTGTAAATAAGCCCAATTCTATTTGTGTTTCCTAAAAAAAAAAAAAAAAATACTACAATTTACGGAACTGAAATGACACTGAAAGTCCAAGAAAAACTGCTTGTCTGAAACTTTTTGGGGTGGGGCTACATTTATGCATTATCTTCTCCAAGAAGTTTACGCGTCCATGTGTGAACAATTCTGGGTAGGAAATCTACCAACTGATGTGTTCTCCATTGTTGGGTATGAGATGTATCGATCTCACCATACTTACAAGATGATAAACTAGCCTATCACTGTTTCATAAATGTCGGCAGGAGACAGGAGACAAAAGACTTCATTATTCATGCTTAGCAAGCAGCGTGAGCATCATATTTGAGTTAGTTCTCCTTGTCCAAGTCCCGTGGGGCACCACAGAGGGGTCCAGGTGTATCTTGTGCATACAGCGGATCTGGGTTCCAGGTTAGGAATACTGCGTCTAGCGAATCCACTGCTTTTATAACAAGCAGAAAGTAACGTGGCTCTTTTTCCAAAGTTGGCCCTTAACTTATCCCTTCAGGTTGCTTGCCGCAAACACAATCTTGAAAAATGGGTGTATTAAAAAGAGGTCAAAGGTTTGCATTCTTGGTATGCCCAGGAAAAACGCTCTGGGAAGCTGAAGGCCTATCGGCAACTGTCTTTCCTAACATTCATACAAAGCCGAATTCAGCCTTCCTATAATTTCCACTAAGGTAGTGTTCTCCAGTCTCTTTGGTATTTTGTATGTCACACTCCTGCAGTGTGCTATGTTACTGCCACTGAGATTTATTTTCTCCACGCTAATGATTTCTAACGCCTTTGAGACTGTTCCTCCTGATGACATATGACTTTGGGCTCTCTCACCTTTCCTCCTGGTCACATATGACGTTGGGCTCTCTCACCTCTCCTCCTGATCACATATGACGTTGGGCTCTCTCACCTCTCCTCCTGATCACATATGACTTTGGGCTCTCTCACCTCTCCTCCTGATCACATATGACGTTGGGCTGTCTCACCTCTCCTCCTGATCACATATGACGTTGGGCTCTCTCACCTTTCCTCCTGGTCACATATGACGTTGGGCTCTCTCACCTCTCCTCCTGATCACATATGACGCTGGGCTCTCTCACCTCTCCTCCTGATCACATATGACGCTGGGCTCTCTCACCTTTCCTCCTGGTCACATATGATGCTGGGCTCTCTCGGGCTCTCTCACCTGTCCTCCTGATCACATATGACGTTGGGCTCTCTCACCTCTCCTCCTGATCACATATGACGTTGGGCTCTCTCACCTCTCCTCCTGATCACATATGACGCTGGGCTCTCTCACCTCTCCTCCTGATCACATATGACGCTGGGCTCTCTCACCTCTCCTCCTGATCACATATGACGTTGGGCTCTCTCACCTCTCCTCCTGATCACATATGACGTTGGGCTCTCTCACCTCTCCTCCTGGTCACATATGACGTTGGGCTCTCTCGGGCTCTCTCACCGTTAGTATTGCTTTCCTCTGAACTTTACTTCCCAAAACGGACTCCGATAATCCAAGTGTGGACCCTAAACTGTTATTTAGCGATACACTTCCATTCTACTCTTATGCCAGTGGACGGAAACCATGTCGTTTTTCATGAAAGGAATCATCATGCCAACCAGATTCCACTTAATATATGAAAGTGTTAGGGTAAGCGCCTTCCTTTAAATACTTGCTGTTTCTAGCAGAAAAGTATTGTCATTACTGTCTGCATTTTGCAAATTATGGACCTCTTCTGAACTGTTTGTTTTCCATGTTAATATAAATGGCATATGACTCTCATACTCCTTTTTGGGGGTCCAGGGGGTGTACTGTCTCACTCTGCTGCCCAGGCTGGAGTGCAGTGGTGCGATCATGGCTCACTACAGCCTCGACCTTCTGCACTCAAACAATCCCCCCAGCTCAACCTCTCAAGTAGCTGGAACTACAGGCATGTGCCACCATGCCAGGCTAATTTTTTTTTTTTTTAGAGATAGGGTCTCGCTATATGGCCCAGGCTTCATATTCTTTGTTCAAATAAGAATCCAACAGTCACGGGCTTTTCTTTTCTCCTCCGACCCTTGCATATAGAAGAGCAGGACATTGACAATGTTTGTCTCTGCTTTAGCAAAGAAAATGGACATGTATATTTACTTTTTCAAAAACGGAGAGATTCCTTTAGATATGATTATAATTCTTTTTAAATTATAGCTAAATTACAAACACACAGAAAAGTAGGGCAAACAGTGTAATGAAGCTCAGTACACTCGTCACTCAGATTCGACAATTAAAGGCTTTTGCCACATTGTATCATCTGTGTCTTTTATTATTACCATTATCAAAGCTTCAGTGGCATCTCTCCAACAACACAGCAGCTTATCCCTGCGCAGTTCAATATGTAGGACATGGACATTTCCAACATGTTAATGACATCAATGTCATTAACATCTAACAAGATTAACAATACTTCTTTAGTGTCATTTAACACCTATCCTACATTCAGATTTCCGCAATTACCTCAAAACATGTGTCTCTAGAGTTGGTCCGCTCATTGCTTGTGATCGCTATGTCTTATCTCTTTTAACCTGATACTCCTCCTCCCATTCTTTTTTTTTTTTTCTTTTTTTGAGACAGAGTTTCACTCTTGTTACCCAGGCTGGAGTGCAATGGTGCGATCTCGGCTCACCGCAACCTCCGCCTCCTGGGTTCAGGCAATTCTCCTGCCTCAGCCTCCTGAGTGGCTGGGATTACAGGCACGCGCCACCGTGCCCAGCTAATTTTCTGTATTTTTAGTAGAGACGGGGTTTCACCAGGTTGACCAGGATGGTCTCGATCTCTTGACCTCGTGATCCACCCGCCTCGGCCTCCCAAAGTGCTGGGATTACAGACTTGAGCCACCGCGCCCAGCCCCATTCTTTCTTTTAATTCTTACCATTGACCATTTACAAAAATTAGGTCAGTTGTCCCGCATTTTGAATTGTGGTGTCCTTTAACGCACTCCTTCCTTCTCCAAATTTCTTACAAACTTGTGTTTAGCCCCAGAGCCTGATTAGATTCAGACTCGACCTTTGTGGAGGGAATATTTCAAGGCGTGTGTGTACTACCCATTCCAGCAGATTGAGAAGCAGACATGGTCGCCACTCCGATGAAATCATGTCAAGGAATTATCCATTGACTCTCATTTTATTCCTTCCTTCCTAGGGATGTGATTTCCCATAAAGTGAAACAGGGTCACGTGAGACTTTTCCTGTTGTGCCGTCTTTGCTGAGGGGCCAAAGCTAAGAGCTGTAGCCCCACATTCTAAAGAACCAGACACAAAAAGGATTTGCTAAGAGGCGGTCGCCACAAAAAATCCTGGGACCCTAAGCCATCATCTACTTACAGACATTAAAACTTCAGGAAGAGTTCTGGGGCAGGAATGGGGCCTTCCGCCCTGACTTCTGACTCTCCTCGGGCAGCCAAAAATTAAGTGTCAACAGCTGGCTTCCTTGGAGCCGTCTAGGGTTCCACAGGGAAGGTGGACTTTGTTAGATGGGGAAGAACAGTTGGGACCCCCAGGAGGAAGGAACTGTGCTTAAATGATGGAATCCTTCCTCGTCTGCACTTGTCCATAGGCCAGGATCAGGGAGGTGGCCATGGGATAATCATATACATATTTTTTGCTGGGGAAATACTGATTCTGAGATGTGTGCTGCCTGGAATCCCATGGTCACCATGACCAGGGTTGTAGGGGGCACAGGTGCCAAGGGTCTCTGGTGTCCGCAGCGTGTCTCTTGGCCGCCATTGACCCAAGGGGTCCCACGTCAGCTGGTTTAGCGGGGGCTGTTTCCTGGGGTCGAGGCTGAGGAATTGTTTTACTGGAGTTTCCTGTGGAAATGAAAAACTAGATGGGGAGTGATATTGTGATATAGCCTGAGGTGGGAAGGGACCACAGGTGGGGCTGGATGTTCTTTGGGCCTCTCTGACAGAGATCACAGACAGAGTGGTCAGCTTGGCCAATCCTCTTCAATGACTGGCTGTGATGTGGAGGAGAAAGGCTGCCCCCAGAGCAGGAATGCCTTCCCTGGGGCTCCTATCCTCGCAGGAGGAGAAGAGCCAGCCATCCCCTCCTGACAGCCTCCTTCACTGCAGCCTGTGGGAGGCGAGTGCCCCAGGGGCAAACCTCTGGGCTCTGGCCCCACCCCAGGGAAACATTCACAGCCTCTCGGGAGGAGAGCCCTGCGGCAGGAAGGTTCTAGGGCAGGTCCCCGGCTGTGGGTGACAGTATCCCAGGCTCCAAACTCCGGGCCTAGGGGCAGTTCCCTTCCCTGATTATAACAGATTCTCACCCCGCCCTCCCCACCTGCCTGCCCCACGGGGAATGGCCCAGGAGTGGAGGCGTGGACAGGCATCCTGGTGTCTCCTATCGGGGCCAGCCTGGACAGCACGGCCCCTGGGGGGCAGAGAGGACGCACCAGGCAGGCACCGGGCTCCAGGGCAGCCCCTGACAGGCGGTGGCCTCGGCTTTGGGTCTCCATGGAGACGGGGCGGGGCCAGGCGCGGAGGGGGTTATGGGGGTGGAACGTGGTTTCCAACGGCCGTCGGCCCCGCCCAGCCCGGACAAAGAGACCCAGCCTGGCCTGGGAAGCAGAGACAGGGACTCCCAGGCAGAGCCTGACCCCAGCGGGCGCCCGGGGCCACCTCCTTCCACACCCTGCTGCGCAAGGACGGGCGGCCTCTTTGGGTCCCATTCCTGCTCCGCTTAGCGCCTCCAGAGGCCTCACCCGGGCCCTCTGCTGGGTCCCCAGGGGCCTCAAAGCGCTGGCCCAGCCGCGAGGTCACACCCGACCTTCCCATGGGTCCTTTGGAGGCCTGGGTTTTGGAGTTTGTCCTTCCTAAGTGCCGCCCGCCCGGATGCGGCTGCCCCAGGACCACAGCTGACCGAGTGTGGCCACGTTCCCTGTGGGCCACCCACCAAGGGCACAGGCGACAGGAGCCCCAAGGCGCAGTGGCCCACTTGGCCCGGGGTTGACCCCCGGATTGGGGAGAGGCCACTAACTCAGGTCCTCTCCCCTTCCTCAAGGCTCCTTCCTCACCTGGGGTGAAGGGCTCCCAATCCCAGCACCTCAGGGACCTTCCTGTTTCACTTATACGAACGAATAATCAATCATTCGGTGTGCTGGGACACAGAAGACAGGCACGCTGGCCCCCCGGGTGGGGTGGGGCGAGGGAAACTGGTCTATAAGTGCAGAAAATTCCCAATAGGGACAGGGGCTAGAAAGGAAACACCAGGAAAAGTGAGGATGGAAGATGGGGTGACACTACTAGGACAGCAAGGTGGGGGTGAGGGTATGAGCCAGGCAGGCAGAACCCAGACACCGTCGGATGGGGTGCCAGGGTGGGACCCACGGAGGCTCTGAGGAAGCCCTGGGCCTCAAAAGATGGGGAAACAGGAAGGCGTTCACAGCCTTCTAGGGCACAGACGGTGCAAAACGGCTCAGGCCAGAATTTGGTTTAAATTTTGGAAGGGTGCTGGGTCCCTTGTGCTTTTCCTGGGGCTAAAAGGATCCAGCTCCTTAGGTCCTTTCCACATGGTTCCAGGGCCCTGGCTACATGGACAGCCTTCTGATGTTTGTCGTCTGTGGCCAGGCAGGGGGCATGGGGCTGCCCAATCCTTCCTTGGCCAAGCGGACAGATGAAGGGAGCCTCTGGGAACAGGGTGGCTGGTCTGGGAATTAGACTTGGAGTGTATTCCAAATGCCCCACGGGCCCCACCTCTTTTCTGGAGCTCGGTTTCTTCAAGAAAAATGGGGACAAGGGACAGCCAGACCAGCTCTCAGGACCCTGCCATCTACCCCTTGATGCTTTTACATGGTTCTCAGGGGCTACCATTTTCAGGAAGAATTCTTGGGTTATAGGAAAGGGAGGGACCCTTAGCTCAGGCTTTAGGCCCAGTGTTGGTTTGGCTTGTTCGCTCTTCCTCCTGCCCTACACCCGTTCACAAAACCTGAGTCCTGGCTATGGCCGGGACTGACTTTTCTGTTTCTACATTTTCATCATTCCATGTTGCACAAAACAAGGTCTGGGGGGAAAGGAGACAGATATTAGCAAGTATATAAAAGATAATTGGCCGGGCGTGGTGGCTCATGTCTGTAATCCCAACACTTTGGGAGGCTGAGGCGGGCAGATCACCTGAGGTCAGGAGTTTGAGACCAGCTTGGCCAACATGGTAAACCCTGTTTCTATCAAAAATACAAAAATTAGCCGGGCGTGGTGGTGCATGCCTGTAGTCCCAGCTACTTGGGAAGCTGAGGCAAGGGAATGGCTTGATCCTGGAAGGCAGAGGTTGCAGTGAGCTGATATCACACCACTGCACTCCGGCCTGGGAGACAGAGTGAGGCTCCATCTCAAAAAAAATAAAATAAAAAGATAATTTAACCAGAGAAAACCTAGAAAAGGAATCAGGATGAAGGGATTGGGAAGAGGTGGGGAGAGGGAGTTGGGGGTGGGGCTGGGACAAACAGAAAGGAGGTGGGGGAGGGGACCAGGGAAATAAAATCTAAGGACAGTAGGGATCAGAGTCACAGCCTTAGCAGGGCCTCAGAAAAGCAGCAAGCTTGTTAAGGTGAAGAGAGGACTGCAGTGATCTCGGCGGGGAGGAAGGAGGAGGTGTCAGGGCAAAGCAAGCAGGGAACAGACAGGAAGAAGAGTCAGTGCCCTCGCCAGGTGGCCACCATCGCTACCATTTTCCTTTCCCCTGTCATCATGATGCCCCTAGGCTTTCTGCCTGCCCTTCTTTAGTGATGGGTGTTGGCAGCTAAGGAGCAGAGTCTGATTTGAGGTTGCAGAGGAAACCGTCTGGGGCAGCTGTGAACCCACCAGGCTTGTCCAGTAGGAGTTCAGGATCCCCAAATTGGACGAGCAAATAAGCTTAGTGAGTGACAGTCCCACCAGTTTTCCCCACAGTCCTTAGGTACTTTCCACATGGTCACTGTAGGCGTCCATAGTAGGCATCCACTGCCCCTGTGGGTCCCCAGGTCTGCTCTGCTGGGCAGAGCAGGGATGCACTTTCGATCCTCTGCAGACACACCTCGGGCTTGAATCCCATCTCATCCATTCCATGAATATTGATTGAAGGCCTACTGGGTGTGATGCCTGTGTGGCAGTGGGGGAGTCAAGGTCCCTGCTCCAGTGGGGGTGACAGGCACAAAACAGGAGGACTTCAGAACCCGAGAAGGGGGACAAGTGGCTGGACAGCACGGGGCAGCCTGAGAGGGGTAAACAGCAAATGCTTTGCCATCGGTTCCTGGCTGAATAGCACTGGAGATGCTACCCGCTCTCTCTTCAGCCTGGGTTTCCTCACCTGGATGGTGGAACTGGAGCCCCCACCGCCCCACTGTCTGAACCCGCTGTCTGAGCTGCCTCTAGGGACCCCACCCTGCTCAGTCCTGCTCCCTGTCTCCATGGCTGTCAGTCCCTCCTGAAAAGAATGTCCTCACAAAAGGAGGCCACTGGCCACAGTGGGAAATGGAACAAGCAAAGGATGCCCAGCCTGTACCGAGGGCCGCATGGCTCCTGAAGCTCGGCCTGGTGGACACTGGAGGGTGCTTTCTGTCTGTGGGTTTTATCCTGTGCCCTTCCCTGTGGTCTCTTGACCCAGCCCAGCTTTCTGGGCCTGGAGCCCTGGCTTCTGGAGAAGAGATCTCAAGCTCTACCACCAGGCACAGGCCACAGACAACTCTGCCCTTGTCCGATGCCAGTGGAAGCTGAACCTGGGGGAGGTGCCCTCTCACAGGGCTGGCACTTCCAGGGAGGCACAGCAGCAAGGCAAAGGGACAGGTTGTCAGGGCCTTGGGAGCTCAAGTGGGACCCATAGGGACCCTCTCTCCGGAGTTGCAAAGCAGCATTGGGTGAAGGGAGATTCAGCATTGTCACCTAAGGGACCCTTAGCCCCAAAGTGGATTTTAAGAACTGGGGTACACTAGCAAGAGAAGGGACCCCACAACACTCCCACCCTCTCCCCAGCCCACCTCTTGCTTCCTGGTCCTGTTCTCTTGGGGGGAAGAAGAATCTTATCTGACTGGTGAGCAGGGTCTCCACATTTTCAAGGCTGGGCGTACCCAGCCCCGGCCATGCACATGGGTGGGGCCTCCCAGACCTTCCTCTGGCTCCTTAGGAACCCACAAGGAAGCTCCCTGATGGGTGCTGATGGGTGTCTACACCCATAGATTCACTGCCTGGCACAGAAACACCGGGTTCCTGGGAAGCTGGAAACTACCTTATGAAAGCCCCTATTCCCACGCCCCCACGCCCCCCTCCATCCCTCGGGGCTGCGGCTATGTTCTTGCCATCAGCCCTCCCCAGCACCCAGCATGCCCGCCTCGCCCAGAAGCACCCCTTCATCCTGGGCCTGGCTGAAGGCTCACTCCTCCGTCAGGCCTCTGAGGGGACCACACCATGCCACTTTTAGCAAAAGGGGAAAGGCCATCACAGTAGAAAGGCCACTGCCACACTAGATAGCCAGGAGCCGGGCAGCACAAGTGGCCCTCTCGGGCACCCCCACCACTCTCACCCCAGCACAGTCTGGTTCCAAGGACTTCAGGATCCTCCTGGGAACCCCTCAGCATGATTAACATGGGCAGCCGGGACCTGAAGGGGCCGTTGATCCTCCTGAAAATGCTCACCAGGCAGTGTGAGTGTGGGGAGGCCATGCGCAATGTGTGGGACCCTGCCCTGTACCCACTCAGAGCCTCGGCCCTGCAGAGACACTGGGAATGATTTGCTGCGGGTGGGGTCATCCTGATGCTTCTCTGAGGTCTCTTTTCCTTTCAGTTTTTCTGAGTAACTTCAAGGACCCTAACCCTATATGCCGAATAAACCAGGGTGTGCACAGACCCCGTCCTGTGCAGAGAGGGCACAAAGCAGCAGAGTGTCTGCCACCCACCTGCCACCTTTACAATGCTACTACAGGATTTGCAAGAAACGATCATTAATCAAGAACCATCTCTATTTAAAAAGATAAAGTAGAGCTCCTGGCTCCGTCACTGCTGGGCACACGGCAGTGTGGGCATCTCACCTGGCTCCTCCCCGCAACCACTGGTGTCCACTGTCAGGTTTCAGGGTTCCTGGACCTCAGGGCTTCGTCCTCTCCAATCTAAATGCAGAGACATTTGACATGGACTGTCTCAGGTGTTTTGCAAAACGCAATCCGTTCTCACTGACTCTGGTCACTCTGCTGTGCACTGGATGTGAAAACCTCTTCCTCCTGTTCAACTCAGGCTTTTTACTATGGCCAACAGGTCTCCATTCCTTCCCTCTTCCCCACCCCAAACCCACTCTTGGCCTCGGGTACCATTGGTCTACTCGCTGCTTCTATGAGATCAACATTTTTAGATGAGTGCTTCCATGACATTACGCAGAATTTGTCTTTCTGAGGTGGTGGCGATACTACGTAGCATGATTTAATCATTCCACGGTACATACATCTATCTAAACATTGTACGCCATAAATGAATATAACCATGATTTGCCAATTAAAAACGATCCTATTAGAAAACACCTTAAATACAGTAAAATGCAGGACACACTGGCCCCTGGGCGGGCAAGGGAGACAGTTCTATCAGTGCAGAAAACTCCCAGTAGGGGCAGGGGTCAGGAAGGAAACACCAGGAAAAGTGAGGGTGGAAGATGGGGTGACCCTCCTGCAGATGGGGTGCTCAGGGAGGGCTTCTCTGAGGAAGTGACATTCACTTGATTGACAAAAGGGATGGGCAGTGCCTGTGAAAGTCTTCTAAGAGTCCGCAGTGCCCAGTGGGGTGTCCCAGGATGGAAATAGGGTAGAAGGCGGGGGTGGGGTTGTGAGCCAGGCAGGCAAGGCCCAGACACTGTGTGATGCATGTAGGGGTGGGACCCACAGAGGCTCTGAGGAAGCCCTGGGCCTCCAAAGATGGGGAAACAGGAGGACCTACTTGGAGGCCTGCACCCAGGCAGGGGACCAGAGCCGAATGCACCACCCTCCTGGGGCTTCCCCTGGGCCTTGCTTTCTCTCCCCACGCCCCGCACTCTGCCACGCACCCCTTCCTAGGCCAAGCAGGCAGAGGAAGTAGAGCCACTGGAGGCAGGGGCACCAGACTGGGAATTAGACTTGGAGTAAAATCTAAACACCCCATGGGTCCGGCTCTTCTCTGGAGCTCGGCTTGTCACCTGGGGTTGGGGGACAAGGGACGTAAGACCAGCTCTCAGGACCCTTCCCACTGCACCCCAAGATGCTTCTCAGTGGCCTCAGGGACCATTTCTTTCAGGAAGAATTTTCTGGTTCTAGAAGAATAAAGGAAGGAAAGGTTTTCAGTGGCACATATATCTTCAGGCTCTAGACTAGCTCTTGGTTTGGTGGGAGTTGCTTTGTTTTTTTCTCCCTTTCACAAAACCTGAGTCCTGACTAGGACCAGGATTAGGTTCCAGTTTCTAGATTTTGTCATTTTGTGTTGCACAAGGCAGACATCTAGGGGACAAAGGGGGAGATGATTAACAAATGATTTAGCTACAGAAAATGTAGGAGAAAAGGAATTAGGATGAGGGATTAGGAATGGCAGAGGAGGAGCTGGGGAGAGGGAGCTGCGGGCGGGGCTGGGACCAACAGAAAAGACACAGGGGAGGAGGCCAGGGAAATAAAGTCCCAGAGGTCAGTGGGGACCAGAGTCACAGCCTTAGTGGGGCCTCAGGGCTGGCAGCCAGTGGAGGGGCTGAGAAGTGACTTTGCAGGGTCACACATCCCCAGGGAGAGAAGGGCAGGCCTCCTGAGCCAGCCGGCAGAATGCAGCCCAGGGGTCCATGCACACCGAGAGCAAAGCCCCAGCGTGGGTCTTCGGCATCTCACTAGCACCTCGCCATTGATCAGAAAAAAAGCCTTTATGTGGGCAATGGCTTTTTGCTAAAATTTAAGATTATTTTTACCTCTATTGTAGTTTTTGGTACAGACTCCTTCTAAATTAGGAATGGTTCTGTCCTAGTCATGATATCCACTTAGCGCCATCAAAGTTTCCATTTGAAAAATTTCTTCTGGTTATAAAGGGAGAGCTTTTTCAGAGAAAAAGTCCAGGTAGATGGAACACCCGGCTGCATGGAGCGAGAGATGCCAAGGTGAGGACATGCCAAGGCCGGCCCCGAACTCCTGATCAGCCTTCGCCAGGGCCTCCTGGCAGGTGCGGTGGGGCGCATTGTCTGCTGGGAGATTAAACCTGCAACCCAGCAACCCGGTGTCAAATGCCAGTCAAACCCAGTGTCCAAGTCTTCAGACATATAACCTGGTTTCTGCAACTAAAACAGCTAGAAAACAGAAGGGGAGCACTGGGGTCCAAAGAGGGGAAACAGAAGACCAAGTGTGACAGGAGCCTCAGCTAAATCCAAACCACCCATCTATGAAAATACAGGTTTGAAGCCCATACAGAGGACAGAGAAGGAGGACAGACTCCTCATGACCTCCAGGAGCCCCTGGATCCAGCCATGCCTGAGGTAGATGCATCCTTGGACTTGTCAGTTTCACGAGCCTGCCAGTTCCTTTTCTTGCCAGCCAGCTTAAGTTTCTGTCATTTCTAATGCAGGGGGGCACCCAGCAGGGAACACGTGCTCAGGTGCTTCTCAGGGTTTTAGTCAGATGCACGAACGATGGCTGGAAAGCCCATCTCTCAAACAGAACCCACGCTGGGGAGAGAATGTGAGTCTCCCAGCCTCCAGGACAGACTCAAAGGGCTGGCCGTATCTACAAGGAGACTACAGGAGAAATGCTCCTGAGATGATGCTTTTCTCAAAGTGCCCAAGGCCCCAGGGTGTTGCTCACTGCCAGCCGCTCATGCCCCTCTGCTCTGTCAAGCCTCTGGGCATCAGGCCCTGGTTTGTCCTCCAGGAGTCTTTAGCCACAGAGAAGCGCTGCAGCATGCAGTGGAGAGCCTGAGTTTGAATCCTGGCCCCACCATGGGTAACTGTGTGTCCTTGAGGGTTGTGACTTCACCTCTCTGCTCCCAGGTTCCCCTCCCTGCAATAGGGCTGGTCCTGGGACTGACTCGCAGTCTGGCAGTCTTGGAAGCTGCAGAAACCGCTCCCCAGCATCTGTGTCCCATTCCCTAAAGGTCTGCGGTGCAGCTGCCCACGTGCCCAGTGCAGGCTGGCCGGAGGCTCTGCTCCAGGACTAGATGCTCAGCCTGGACATGACCCAACTCCATGATGGTTGACCTCAGAAAGAAGCCTGTCACTATGACACCACCATTACTTTTGGCCCCACCTCCCACCCCCTGTGACCTTTACTAATAGGTTCTGGCCAGCTAAGGAGCATTGTCTGATTTGAGGTTGTTGTGGAAACCGGCTGGGGCAGCTTGGAGCTACTGAGAAGTGGTGGGCCCATGGGGTGTTTGAATTATACTCCAAATCTGATTCCCAGTCCAGCGCTCCCACCCCCAGTGGCTCCCATTCATCTGTCCACTTGCCAAGGAAGGGCCCAGGGCAGCGTGCGGGGCTCAGGGAGGGAGAGCAAGGCTCAGGTACATACTGGGATTCGTAACTCATCATTTACGCTGAATGTTAGGAGTTAAATTCAATGAAAGAGCATTAGAAAACATATCCTAGTTTTCAAAGCAACATATATCCAAATGTTAAAATCTGTATACACGGGCATACAAAACAACCATACCTTATTAAGAATTTTAGAAAGAAAGATATATGGAGGGCCAATGAAACCAGTTATTTAATTTATGCTCCCATGTCATAAATTCACTGTGGGGTGTGAACTTTCTCAATGCCCTGCCGTGCATCAACCACTTTCAGAGTCAACCATGGGCAGCTGTATGGACCTCACCTAGCAGTAGAGGAAAGCGAAATCCAACACACAGCTTTTAGGAAGGTCTAGAAAGTGCCTGATCTGGCCGGGCACAGTAGTGGCTCAGACCTGTAGTCCCAGCACTTTGGGAGGTCGAGGCTGGTGGATTGCTTGAGCTCAGGAG